TAGTTACCTAGTTGGATAATAAATCTCTGCAAAGCAAACAGCCAAGCTCAGAGAGCATCAAGGACTCTATAGTTCAGTCTTGAGCTGCATATATTCTCTTATTGGCTAACCGATAGGAAAAGATGGTATGATTTCTTTCTTTCTTTTTTTAGATTTTTGGAAGTCTTTTTTGTTTTAGTAAGAAAAAAAAGGCCCCCACCAGAAAGAAAGAAAATCCCTCATCTTCCTCTCCTCTATACAGCTATTTCATTGAAGTAAACTGATGGGACTTCTGTAGAGTTTACTTCTGAGTAATCATTGGATAGGCTCAGGTTGTGATCTTTCAGCTGTGTCTTTTCCTTAAAAGGACCTTCTGCATTTTGTGAAATTTGACCTAAACATTAATATACTCCTTTTTCTAATATTTGTACTTCATAATTCTACTTTACTTATGTCATTGCCTTTATTTCGTAGCGTTAATCCTTCCACTGTTCTTTTAAAACAGAATATAAATAAGCATTGTGGCAATAATCTCCCCAGAACATTTTCCATAAATAGATTGCCTCTAGTATTAATGTCTTTATTCATGCCAGTGTCTTCAGAATGTGATTGGAAGCTGCCCTTAGACTTAAGTTTGACTTCTATGAGCTTCTTTTGACATCTAGATTGGGCTACATGGGATCCAGATGCCAAACTGGATAAAAGTATCCAGTATTTTGCACAAAAGGTATATATATTACATTTACAATATTCCTCCATTCTACTAAACATGTAAACTAATCAATAAGATAAGATTAGTCTTGCAAGATTTGATTTTGACAAATCTCTGTTGACTTCTGATAATACTTTGCTTTTATGGTACTTCTAGATTAGTCACTATGTTTGGCTTCAAAATCTTGCCAGAGAACAGTGTCAGAAAGCTTGTTTTTCCATTGTTTCCCTGGAACCTCCTTTCCTTTTTCTCAAAAGATAAAGATATTTACCCTTCTCTAGTCATCTGGCACATTACTTATTCTCCAGGATTTCTCAAGATGCTAAAAAAGGGTTCAGAAGTAACCCAGAATGCAGTTCATCTGGATCTGGAGATTTATTCCTATTCATAGGGAATAGGTATTCCCTGATCAAGTTTTTATCAGTCTCAGACTGCAATCCTGCCCTTTCATCTTATTTTTCCCAGTTCCCAGGTGAAACAGACTTTTGGGATAGAGAAGGCTGACACAGAATAGGAGTTGAATGCCTCTGCCCTTTCTTTATCAATTAATTGGTATACTAATTTTTCTTCCTTTTATTTTGAATATCACTGAAAACCTTTTTGTTGTTCTTAGCATCTTTTGCCAAGCTCAGCTTATTCTGAGCTTTTGCTTTACTGGCACAATCTTTATAATTCTGGGCTATCTATCTGTATTATTTTCACAATGATTCTCCTTTTTTTATCCTCTCTAGTTTCTACATGTATCTTTTTTTTGTTTGCTTACAGCTCTACTAATCTTGTTGTTTACCACACTGCTGCTTTTCGATCCATACTTTCTTTCTAATTGGAATTGCTTGCAATTCTGCTTTTAATATTTCCTTTTTCACAAACTTTGATCAACTTCATATCTTATTCCCATTATCTTTCTACGCTATAGAATTTTAAACATCATTGCTCTAAGTTTATTAAGAGCCATTTTTTTCTTTTGTTCTCCACAGGTATCTGCATAGGTGGAGTCAAAAAAGTCAGGATGTAAAAAAGTGGTAGGGTTCTATTAGGCAGTTGTGAAACAAACCCCCTCCCTTGAATTTTTGACACATGTACACCCTATAAATGCCCCTACTTCCTTCACTCTTTGAAAGAGGAAGTGGTTAGCAACCCAAGCATTTCCTGGAAGGACTGTGATTGATGGACCCAGGATAGTTGGTAGATATCTATGTAATTAATTCTTGGAAGGGGCTACAGGTGCCACAAAAGCATATTATAGTCTTGCATGAAATATTACAGATGCTTATAGATATGCCTATCTGCTGGATTGGGATGGAAATCCATGAGGTAACTTAAGGTGGAAGCAAAAATAGTGATAGGCCCAGGAAGTCAGTCAACCTTTTCAGTTTGTTTTCTAATAAATAAATGTTTTACAACTTATACATATTCAAAAAGCCATTTTGTGAAAGTGCCCATATTCTTAAAATTCCAAAAATGTTCACCAGCCACTAAAGAAGGAAGACCCTGTTCAAAGAAAATAGAAGCTCAAACAATAGGCTATCAGAGATGCCTTAAACAAACAATGTAGTCATGTTCTGTGGTTAGTAAATAGCAATAGCAATTAGACTTGTATAGCGCCTCATAGTGCTTTACGGCCTTCTCTAAGTGGTTTTACAGGGTCATCATATCCCCCCCAACAATCTGGATCCTCATAGTCTTAGTTAGTTAAGCCTCATAGCTTTAGTTCTTAGTCTTTATATGTTATTCTAATAGTAGTCTTTAAGTCCTTAGCCCTTAAACTACCAAGTGAATTTTCTATTGGCCATCATCCAGGCAATGTAGAAACTTGTCCAGTTCCTTCTCTCTCTTTTTCTGTGTTTATTACACCCAACTTCCACATCACCCTTGATTAAAGAACTCATCACATAGACATCATCTACTGTCACCTTGACATCTGAAATGCCTTAGAATTTATTGCCTCCATCCATTATCATGGTTAACCCCCCTTTCACCAGCACCAAAGAAAAATGAAACCATTCTTCTGAGTTGTAACTCTTTCTCCTTTTCCTAGTAGTTCTTCTGGCTATTGACAGTTCCTTCCCCTAATCTGTGATCTAACATGTTCTGACATCACCCTGCCTGTGCTCCTTCCCCTTCTGCTTTCCTCCTTGCATTATTTATGGCAAGGAGAAGTCCTTCTCTGATCCACTGGCCTGTTTGTGCTTTGTGGTAGGATGCATTTTATGTACAAAGGGTGGAATACCGAAGAGGGGCTTGGACCGCATTTGCATTTCCACCTCTTTAGAGGTATATGCTAAAGGTTTAAGAAGAAGATGAGGTTAACTGTTGGCTTAACCTTTGTAAGCCCATTTGCCTTCCAGAAGACAAAGACACAAGCCGGCCACATGTATTATCTTTGCAGTACATTTGTTTCAGGAGCCAGTAGTGTTAAGCAAAGGTACGCCAGTTGATAATAAACCTGCTCCACAGTGTCATTTGTGGGTGATTTGAAGAAAAACAGACCATGTAATCAGGTCTAAGGGGGTCTATAATACCAGCAGACGCTAGTGCTGTCAGCTATAGAAAATAATTAGTATGTTATCCCTGTGGCAAGTAGAATGTAAATACATCTAAAATACAACATAATGACATTCCCCTCTGTAAGGCAGGGGATCTGCTTCAAATAAAAGGGCCATTAACACAACAATTAAAGCCAAGGGGGCTGGTTAGGCAGGGAGCCCTCAGCCTGGCGCAGGGGTGAGGCAAGCAAGAACCGAGTGTAAATCTTTTGCTCTTGCAGTCAGGAATGTGACTATTAGCCTTCCTCTGACCAGAGGGCTTCCCAATAAGACATCTGCTCTCTGTCACAGTCAGGGTTTTGTAACATCTTTCTCCAGCGTGCAAAGGTGAGGGAGTTTTCCACAAAGCGCAGCTGAGAAGAATGGGTCAAGGGTGGGCCTACCTCAGAGGGAGTTCAGCACAAAATTGCCCTGCTACACACACATACACGCACACACACAAGCACGGACACCCATAAAACCTTTGTATAGATGTAGAAAAATATCTGAAACACACACTTGTTTTCTTCTTCTCCAGTAGCCCCGTTGGCGCTAGCAGGCAGATTGTTCTTTAAGCTTACATTTAAACAAGTGTTTCATTGTTCCAGTGAACAAAAGCTTTGTTAAATGTTCCCAAGTTCTATTGCAGAGTAATTTTTGCCTAAATGAAAGCTATCAAAAATGGACTTGACAATGTAAGAGAGAGTGGGGGGGGGAGTAATTCCAACCAGACTAGCAAAATCGAGATTACTGTTTGACTTCTCCCCTGATTCTCTTTTATGTTTATGCTCTTATAAAAGAGAAAAGAAAATCAGGGGAGGGGGGTCAAACAGTGTGCACATACATGTGCACACACAAACGTACACAGATACACAAATATCCATTCAAGTCCATTTTTGATAGCTTTCATACAGTTCTTATGAAATTAAAAGAAGCGTATCTTGCCAAGGATGTTAATGATAATAATTTGATCCAAATGAGAAATACATTTTGAACAGTTATCTCTAAAAATTAATAATTTGAAGGGAGCTTTTTATTGTTCTCTAAGTACTGGGTGTATCTTGTGTGTTATAAGTGTGTGTGGCTATAAACACAACATGTTTGTAATCGGTATAATTTTGCCCAGGACAAATCATTGGATTGATGAAAACACAGGAAGGGGGTTCTTAATAAATACTTTTTATTATTATTCCAAATCTGCAATAAAAAAGTAGTTCAAAAGTGAATACAGGATTTTAATTCTGTTCAGGCAGGGACTTTCAGATACCACCAATCCAGTTCCAATCAGCTTCAGATCAGTATGAAAATAATAATGCTATATTATGTAAGGAGTCCCAGAACTCTTGCAATCATGTCTGTGAAATACTCTGGATATTTAAGAAGTGCTGTGTAAATTCTACTGTTATCAAGTACATAAAACTCAGTTCCTTCACTGTACATGACAGAAAGGAACATATGTAAATACTTGATACGACAGTCTCTTTAGTCATAGCAGCTGACTGGTGACAGGAGGCAGAAGCCAGTAGCTTTAGGTCCCTCCGTGTGTTCACTGCATGGAGACTAATCATCCATACACTGCAGCTAAAAAAAGGATGGATTTATTTATCACGGCTATGCTATATCAAAATCTTTGGAGAAAAAGTCTTTCGTAAGCCATGCTGCTCTCCCCCCAAAAAAACATAAAAGAGAGAAATGATTTCTTTCTTTCTTTCTTTCTTTCTTTCTTTCTTTCTTTCTTTCTTTCTTTCTTTCTTTCTTTCTTTCCTTCCTTCTTTCTTTCTTTCTTTCTTTCTCTTTCTTTCTCTTTCTTTCTTTCTTTTCTTTCTTCCTTCCTTTTTTTCGGATAATGATCTCTAAAAAAGTTAAAATACATGGGTTATTGAAATCTAATGGCCTTTTATTGAACCACACTGTATAATAAAACTGTAAACAGGTTATTTTTAGCCAAACATGTGGAGGTGAAGGAGAAGGATCTGAAAATCACTATCAATGGAAAAGTCTATTCAGAAGAAAATTGAAGCAGAAAGTCTATAACTTTCTTCTTTTGTGATAGCCATAGGTTCCATCTTGTTCCTATTTATAGCCGTCAGATCTCCCACAAACCTCCAAATTCATAAATATCAGGCATGGAGATCCTTCCAAAATAACTCATGAAAGTATTTAAGTAGGCTGATTGGAAGTAAGGGCAGGAGTTTACAAGCATCTTGTATTTGTTTTCCTTCAATATTTCTTAGTCTCCTCCTTTGCCCCACTAATTTTAACTAGCATAGCTAATTTTCAATCCACCCTGATAATATTCAGCAACCTGGGATTCAGAATTTTAGATTGGGATGAACATTGGGCAATAGTCAATTGATGATATTCGCATGCACAGGTAGTAATGAATAGCAGATTCAATACAGCAGATTCAGAATCCTTTCAAATAAATAGGGGCATAAAAAGGATGCTCACTTTCACTAATTTGTTTAATCTCATCATAGGCATATTAAAATAGAATTTTAGGAGGAATAAGAATATTCAAGATCTTAATATCAGGTAATAAATCTGTTTGAAGATACATAAGAGAACAATAATTCAGTTGCACTTTTAATTGAATAAATTTTTATCCAGTAGCTGGAAGCGAAGCCAATTTTGATAAACTGTCTGCTATGTTAATCAACATTGGTAAAAAGTCACAAAGAGCCATTCAAGAATCTACTGGACTTCATATTAGTCCACATAGGTTTAGTCATTTAAAAGCAATTATTACAAAGGATTGACATGAATTAAAATCAGTTATGATCCTTTCTTATGAAAGCTCAAGATAGAATTTATATCATGGTATGTCATTTCTTTATTATTGCTTGGCAGATTATCTGCAATTGAAATTATTTTTTCTAAAATTTCATTCCTGTTTCAAATACTTCCAGTTCCCTTATCTATTATGTGGTGTTGTACAAAGCAAAGGATTCTTTCTGTGTATATACTCAATTACAAAAACCTAAGAGAAGGCAAACAGTGCAATATAAGCAAAGGAACGATAGAAATTCAGATATACCAAACATTGATAAAACATTATTTTGATATTTTTCAGTTAAGATAATTAACTCACATTATTTGGAATTCAAAAGATGTTAAATGGGCAGAAGCTGAGATATCATTAAGCAGACAATCTATTACAGCAATACCATTCATCCCTGATATTAATAAATGAATATCTGCAAGCACAAATCTATACACTGTACTACTAAAATTTTCATGCTTGTCTGTGTGTAACCTTTAATTGGGTGAAACAGTACATCGCAGCAGGGCAATGATTTTTTTAAGCAAGCTATCCCAAATGGGCTAACTTACAGAATGCATCTAAAACTTCAAAGCTTTAGAGCAAGGATGTCAAACTCGCGTCGTCACAGCAGCATCACATGACATATCGAGTGTCCACCCTGGAGCCATCTTTGAGCATCTTCAGAGTTGCCACAGTGGGGCTGGATGGAGCTGTGGGAAAGGGAGTGGGGAGTAGAGATAGTTGGGGGAATGTGTAGCCAAAATAACATTCTTTCTTCTGGGAACCAAGGACACCAGGAGGGGAGTGGATGGGAGGCATCCAGAGAGAGAGAAGCCTGATTGGGGCATATGATGGTTCTGTGTGATGAGGGGAAGAACTTTGGATTTTGAATTGGATGGGGAAAACCCGGGGAGCTTCAGATTCGGGTTTTCACCAGCTGTGCCAATATCACATGCCCAATAAATCTATACTTTTAGTTACCCTGCCTTGGAATTTTGATTTCCTATGGGCTGTTACTTGGAACCCTGACATTGAGACTTTTTCACCCTTCCTTAAACCTGGCATGGGCATGGCCACAACGTGATGTATCTGGCCTGCAGGCTGCAAGTTTGACAGCCCTGCATTAGAGCATGCAGAAACCTAGCACCTATCTATATCTCCTAAAACTAAATGCACCTTTTTGAGGGATTATTTAATAGGTTCTGAAGAAAAACTATTCACAGATCACAACTTCATTTCAAATGAAACAAATGCAAAGATATCATCTTAAAACTCGTGATATTTTACCAATCAAGAAGATTAATGATGTTTGAAAAATGGTTTATAGCCAAATTGTTTAAAAATTAAAGGAACATTTTCAATATAGCAGAAAACTCTTCCATAAAATACATTGATCTTTCTTTGAAAATATGGGAAGATGACTTTGGATTTAAATTTGATGAGCCACCTTAGAATACTTTATAATACATATCCCTCTTAAATCTATTTTGATAAGTCTTTAAGAACAGACTAGATGATATATGATAGATGTTTTTTGTTCTTATATTTTTACTTTTAATCTGTTTATACTTATTGTATATTTATCAAAAAGCAAAGCAATTGCAGGATTAACTGTAATGATATTACTTAAAATGTTCATATTGAAATATTCTAAAGCCAGAAAAGATAGACTAACTCAAATTCTTGTCAATTATGTGAATTGTCTTTCAGTTCATCTTGTCTAATATTAATTGATCCAGGGGAAATATTCTGGGTTCAGTTCCTGCACATTAATGTCAAAGCATCGCAAGTAAAATGTCTGAAAATATCTTCACCTGAACCTTTAGGGAATTTTTTGCAGACATACAGGTGCATTGGTCTAGCTGGGCTAATGGTCTAACAGTACAATTGATGAAAATATCAGATCATCACAACCTCTTTATCATCCATCAAAAAAGAGCCTTGGTTTGATTAACTTGGTGCTTTTGGGACATATGTGAAACCAAACCATTTTTTTCAGGTGAAAATAAAATCTGATCTGTTTCTGTTGATGACTCACGAGATCTCAAAACAATGAAATACTTCCTTATTTTAGTACATTACATTACAAAGCAAGAATCCTTTATGCTCTCTGAAAGATGCTGAGCTTGTCAATCGAAAGGTCAGCAGTTCAGCGGTTTGAATCCCTGGTGACGTGTAACGGGGTGAGCTCCCGTTACTTGTCCCATCTTCTGCCAACCTAGCAGTTCAAAAGCACGTAAAAAATGCAAGTAGAAAAATAGGGACCACCTTTGGTGGAAAGGTAACAACAATCCGTGCGCCTTTGGCATTTAGTCATGCCGGCCACATGACCATGGAGACGTCTTCGGACAGCACTGGCTCTTCGGCTTTGAAACGGAGATGAGCCCCCTAGAGTCGGGAACGACTAGCACATATGTGCAAGGGAACCTTTACCTTTACGCTCTCTGTATAAATAAATCTCTTTATCATATTGTTCATTTTTAGGAAATGTACTGAACTGTTTTCTTTATGAACATTTCATGTCCTGCTAATAATGTCTTTGTCTTTCTCAAAAAAAAATACATAAAGAGAATTCCTTTTTTTTTTACTGGAGCAAAAATGCAGGGAAAGAGATCAAGTTCCTAACAAGTACTTATTCCCAAACTCTTTTGTACAAAAAGCAAAAATGAAATCGAACTCCCACTTGTTTTTAACCACAGCACAAAGATGTTGTGGCAAAAAAAAAAATGGTTTTGACCATGACTCCTTATGTTGTCTTCATTTAATCCCCCGCTTGTGAGATAGCCTTAAATTGCCTTTAGCTGTATCAATGTAAAAATAATATTTTCCTCTCATTTTAACACTGCCTAAGGATAGCCTTTAGGTGTATTAAATCTGCTAAGCTTTGTCACTCATTGATCTGGAGGTAAGTCAGGTAACTCAATTGGAACAGGCAATTGAGGCAAGATAGGGATCAACAATAGTCACCCCAAGTTTTGTGCTGGAATGGTTTTCTATCTGCTCAAAAATGGTGGCTGGGTAGAATTAAAATTCAGCAGTAGAAAGCAGAGACAGAGAAGAAGGAGAAGGAGGAGAAGGAGAAGGAGAAGGAGAAGGAGAAGGGGAGAAGAAGAAGAAGAAGAAGAAAGAAAGAAGAGAAGAAGAAGAAGAAGAAGAAGAAGAAGAGAAGGAGGAGGAGGAGGAGGAGGAGGAGGAGGAGGAGGAGGAGGAGGAGGAGGAGGAGGAGGAGGAGGAGGAGGAGGAGGAGGAGGAGGAGATTTAAGCTACCAGGGACTTGTTCAGTCTTTTTTATTTAAAAAGAATATCTGAGTCCCCTTTGAGTGCAGGTTTCAGAATACTAAAGGAATCAGAAAGTATCAGAAAAATTGCAGATGTGTGGGAAAATCAACATGTTCTGAAACAATGCTGAATGGATGTGTAATAATATGGAGCTTCTGCCCCATTTTCATTAATATAAATCATTACAGCAATACGGTATTTAAAGGTGATGTGCAGATCCTTTATATGTATAGGAATAGATCCTTTAATTCCTCTGACCTTTCATCCCTTCACACTTAGGAAACTAACTGTTGTATTATGCTTGTAACTCTTGAAATTACAGTTAACAATTAATCAATGGAATAGTTTACCTCCTGGGGTTGTGGGTGCTCCATCACCAGCTTTCAAAAATAGATTGGACAGCCATTTGACCAGGATTGTATAAAGTCTCCTGCCTTAAGCCAGGAGTTGGACCCCTGAGATCCCTTCCAGCCCTTTGATTCTATAGTTTATGTTTTAAATAGCAGGGCTTACAGTGCAACTATTAGAGATTGGAGACCATGAGTTTTAAAATTCATCAGAAGCTGCTTAGGATGGAATCAGAGTATAAATCCATGTAGACCAATTCTACCTACACTGATCTGGGGTTTTTACAGCATTTATCTGGCAAAACTGAACCTGAATATTCTGCCTTTAGCTCATTAGATAAAGATCAAAGGACAGGTATGTTTAAACTATTGGGCAAAGGCTACAGAGCATCAAATAGTAAGAAATAAAGATCTGCCCCACCCAGTCAAAGAAGAGTGCCAAGTTAATTGTAGATTAAAGAAAGTCTGGGTACCTATTAATGACTTATAAGTCATTATGCCCATTGATGGTTAAGAGTATAATGGCAAAACTTTAGTCTCTTTTTTACATTTTGTATCTTCCAATAGTGAGAGTAGTGCTACCTTTGGTGCCTCTTCTACCTTTATTCCTACAATTTCTTCTATCTCCTTAAACACCATCTTCCACAATTTTTGCACAAATTTACAATCCCACCATATATGTAAATACGTTCCTTTTTCCCCACAACCTCTCCAACAGTTATCTGAATAGTGCTGATTCATATTGCTTAATCTAACCCGAGTTAAGTACCACCTTCATACCATTTTGTAGTAATTCTCTTTTATTCTTACTGACATATTTCTCAACACTCTTTGTTGCCAAATTCTGTCCCAACTCTGTTGTCCTATTTGTATCTTCAAATCGGTTTCCCATACCATCTTTCCTAAATTTCCCCTCTCCTCTTCCTCCAACAATATTTTATAGATTCTGCTCATTAAGCCTTTTATCCCTTTATTTTCTTCCTTTACAGTTTGATTTTTTTCAATTAATTCCTCAAACCTCGTTAACTCTCTACACTCTTCATTTTCTCTTATCCAATTTTTAGTCCATTGTTCCACTTGGCTATAATTTAACCAAGACAACCGTTTTCCTCCTAGAACCTCTTCCAATTCCCCATGTGTCCTCATTCTTCCTAACCATTCCCTTAATTTCATTTTATTTTTCTCTTTTAAAATTTCATTCACTTTATTCTTCAAATTCCCTGGGAACTTTTCCAAAATTACTACAGGTGATAATGGAGAGTTCTTCGGAAGCAACCTCCCTTTATATTTACTCCAAATTTCCCAATGAAACTTCAGGAAAGGATTGCTTATGCTCTCAGCCCATTTCTAAAGAATTGATAATAAATTTGTTGACCGCAGCAAGATTAATGATTTCTAGGAACTGGAAGACACAAGGTGTTTATAATCTGGAAGAATGGTATAAGGAAGTATGGGATATTGCCATAAATGATAAATTGACTTGCAATATTAAAGTAAGGAGGGGCATAATGAAGGTAAACAAATTCAATGGAATCTGGAAACAGTTCCTAATATATGTGTTTTCTGGAGGAAGAGGGATACCACCACCAGAAGAAGCTTTAAGATTCTGGAAGCAGGAATTATCCCGAGGGGTGGGGGAGCACTCGTTGATGTTTGTATTCTGTATATTGTTATATATTATATATTATGATTCATGTATGTTATGTATGTTAATTTCTTTTTTTATATGTTAATAATAAAAAAAATATGGAAAAAAAAGAGTATAGTGGCAAGAGTGGGAATAAGGAATCGGCAAATTAAAAGTATCACAGGTAAGAGTAATAAGAAGGTGGATGGAGAGAAGGAGAGAGAGAGAGAGAAAGAAAGAGAGAGAGAGAGACTCAACACGGGTTTATTTGAACCTCAGTATGAAAGTCAACAGATTTAGAAAAATGAGCAGATTAAAAAATTGCCGAGTGGCTGTTTTATTATTTATTTATTATTTATTACATGTATTTATATCTCACCATTCTCCTGAAGGACTCAGGGCGGTGAACACAAGTTAAGAAACAAGTACAATAAAATCATAATTTAATCCAAATAATTAATTAGTAGTAAATAATAAAGTCCGGAATCAGTCTCAGCCTATTTGTTTGAAAAGCCAAGTCTTCAAGTCCCGACGGAAGGAGCGGAGATCAGGAGCCGTCCGGAGCTCAGTAGGTAATTCATTCCAGAGGGTGGGAGCACCCACAGAGAACGCCCTACCCCTGGGCAAAGCAAGGTGACATTGGCTCGCCGTCGGAACCCTGAGGAGAGCGGCCCTATGTGAGCAAACAGGACGGTGAGAGGCAGGCAGGAGAAGGTCATGCAAATATCCCGGACCTAAGTCATGAAGGGCCTTATAGGTGAGGACTAGGGACCTTGAAGCGGACCCGGAGAACCACTGGTAACCAGTGCAGCTCACGCAGGAGGGGTGTTATATGGGAGTAACGAGGGGCTCCCATAACAACACGTGCAGCTGCATTCTGGATCAGCTGGAGTCTCCGGGTGCATTTCAGGGGCAGCCCATGTAGAGGGAATTGCAGTAATCCAAGCGGGAAGTAACCAGGGCATGAGTGACTGTGCGAAGGTCATCTCAGTCCAGGAAAGGGCGCAACTGGTGCACCAGGCGAACCTGTGCGAAGGCCCCCCTGGCCATGGCCATTAGATGGTCTGTTACAGATGAAAATACCTAACCTGATATCTGTAAATATGTGTGCTTGTTTATATGTCATTGTGTGATGTCATTGTGTCACTTACCATTGGTTAGTACTTACCATTAGCCCCGCCTTCTCTGTATATAAGTTCTTGCTCCTCCCAGATTAGTTCCTGTCTAATTGTGTTCCTGAGGAAGAAAAGAAATAAATATTACTATTACAAGAAAGCCTACAGTCTCTTATATATGGGCCTAACCAGGATAACCAAACTAGCAACAAATTGGTAGCAGAGGATGGTTTGGTAGGCCCAACCGAACATAAAGATGCAAGACTCACATAACGACAAAAGAAGACCTGCCACCAGATACATAACGAAAAGAATGGCAGCTCAACTAACTCCTGACAAATATACACCACTTGAAAATATTAAGAAACAAACGCAATTACAAGAAAATGAACTGCTAACACCAAACAAAGAAGATGAGGTAAAAAGAAAAATACTAGAATTAATAGAAACAACTACAGCTGAATCAAATCTGCTTGTGAAAATCCGCAGCATAATAAACGACCACGGAACAGCAGCAGATAACGAAAATAACAAACAAGAAAACTGCAAGGTAAGAAATTCAACCCCTGACTTCAAAAATGACACCAAAGATGGCGACAGCTTCCCGCCTTTTTCATGGCAGCCATCTTACCCACCTAATACCTCTAAAATGCCTGACCAATTACTAAAAGAATTCCAAACCTCAAACTACGAAATAAAAAACAAAACCTACCAAGAAGATGATTACCCGAGTCCAAAAACAAATAAAAAACAATTATTTAAACAAAACAAAGCTCAACCTACTGAAGTAGAAATAGACAATGCTATACAGGTGCTAACTGCAGCACTCGGGACTAAACTAACAATACCAAACAAACAACCAGAAAATGAAATAGAAAATTCTAAACTACCATCTACCAAAGGCCAAAAAGAAATAGACTGTCTAAAGAAAGGCCTAGCCACCCGAAGAAAGACAAGCTGGCAATCATACTTACCTACTGAAGAGCAGCTCCCTGAACAACCCGGCTCCATTGGCAATGGCGGCCCGCCTCAAGCTCCACTTACTGACGACCTCAGAGAAGACTCCCCGATGAGCAGAGCAGCACCCCAGGCATTCTTCAGTCACCAGAGGCCCTCCGGAAACAAAGCAGAGCAACAGAAGGCCGTCTGGGACTTCACCCCAGGAGCTGCAGACACAGGAACCTCCCTCATCGACTGCTGGAGAAAAATGAGGACTGAGCATGCCCAGAACGAGCCTGCAAAGAAAGAAGAAAGGAAACATAAATACAAGTCAGCGCAACATAGAGATAAGTAAATACAGACATACATCTACCATACCCAGGCCTTATTGTGAGTATGCTAAGGTCTTAAATCATGGACAGCTACTAAACATGAATAACACCTCACTACACTCAGGGACAATACCTCCAGACTTTATAAAATTGAAATTAGATGGAAGCAACTTAATGGAATGGGATCAGTGTTTACAGATTGTATATATGAAAGAGAAATGTTTTATTTTTTATTGATAACCCACCAAATAAGCCTTGGACCTATGAAATAGACTGCCTCCACCACAAAGCATACTATATGTTAATTGTTTCTATTTCCCCAAGTATACTCCCCAGTATAGAGCATAATTTAACTGTATTTGAAGTATATCAAAAATTATTCAGACTGTTCTATAGCAAAAATGTAGCCACTACCACAAAAATCTCTAGGGAATTCTATTCTGCCAAACTAAAACATGATACATCCATGAGTGAGCATATCTTGAATTTAAACGCTGTAAGAGCAGACCTTATTCAAAGGGGAGAAACCATTTCTGACAACACCATGAAAAGCATTATAATTAACTCTCACTAGATCACAGCTGGGATAACTACATTACACTAATAGATAACCTAAGTATAGAGCAAATTACTTTAGAAAACCTTACCAATAAGCTTATTACTGAAGATAGACTTAGAAGAGAGCGATATACACAACAAAGAGAAGGTAGAAATCAAAGAAGGACTGATTTCAGGGCCAGAGACAGATACCCACATGAATGTCTCACATGTGGATCTGAAAGACATCAGAGTAGAGACTGTCCCAAGAATATAGGATACAGTGACTCATATAAACACAAGGATAGAAGAATACACTTTTTAGACAGAACCTCCCCAGATTACAGATATAAGAGAAGAGAATCACCACACTCTAGAGAAAGACAAACATACAGAAATAACCCTAGAGAAAATAAGAAAGGATCACTATATGGAATAAGAAATAATAACACTTTGATATCTGATTCACTCAACACCTGGCTCATAGATTCAGGAGCCACATGCCATACAACTCATAATAGAGAAATATTAAGTAACTTCACTGAAAAGAAATATTATATTAAAGTAGCAAACCAAAATAGAGTCCTAGTGAGAGGAATAGGAGACACGCATATAAAAGGTATAGGAAAAATAGAGGGGGTACTATTTGTGCCCGAAATTCCAAATAACATATTGGCAACCCTAAAGTTAAGCTTAGACAATGCAATAGAAACCACTTTCAGAGGTGGAAAGGTATTCATGACTAAGAACAACAGAAACATAGGTAAACTATTTACAAATGATGGACTAACATACCTACTGCCACAAGATAACGAACTAGTCTATGCAAACTATCAATTAAGAAACAAAAAACCAAATTCAGATAGCCATGATGAAAATAATGATAAGAATGCATCAAACACTGATACTAATATGTCTGAAAATTTAAACAATGGAAAACCTATTCACGATAATTGTAGTCACTTACTCCACAGAAAGCTAGGACACGCGAGCTTTCCAGTCATACGAAAAATGTTAGAGTGTTCCGAAGATTTAAAAATAAAGAACTGTAAAAATTACTTAGAATGCTCTGTATGCAATTCTTCCAAAATTAAAAACAAGCCAAAACCAAAAAAGCCACCCGCACCACACAATCAACCTTTCAACTAATTCATATGGATGTAGTAGGCCCATTAAAACCTTCAATTAAATACAAAAAAAGATACTTCCTGACCATAGTCGATGACTATAGTAGATTTGGTTTTGTATACACCCTTAACCACAAAAGTGAGGTTTTCAAAAAATTTAAGGAGTTCTTTAAAATGGTAGAAACACAATACAATACCAAAATCAAACAAATAATGACTGACAGGGGGTCGGAATTCCTATCCAACGAATTTTCAATTTGGCTAAAATCACAAGGAATATTGCACTTTAAATCTTGTCCATTTTCCCCATTCCAAAATGGAGTCTCTGAAAGGAAGAATGGTTTGCTACAAACCATGGTTAAATGTGTGTTAGATGATGCTGGTTTAAACCAGTCATTCTGGGCTGAAGCCCTTAATTATTCCAATTACACTATAAATCGCTTATGGTCCAGTACAATCAATAAGACCCCATACGAACTCATGTATGGAAGGAAACCAAAAATTGGGCATTTACACGTATTTGGTGTATCTGCTGATGTATATGTGCCCTCACAGTTAAGACGCAAAGGAGAGAAAGTATCCAAAAGACTGATATTTATGGGGTACGAATCAGGAACCAAGGGATATCGCTTCATTGATAAAAATAATCACTTCATTGTATCCAGATCTGCCGTGTTTCATGAACACATGAACTAGTCAAAATTACATCTCAATGAAATTTACCCAGAATCAAAAAATATTACACACACGCACGCAAAACATCACACATCAGATACGAACCCCAAATCCACATCTACTAACAGAATCAAATGCCCAGTAATAGTTAATGATGAATGGAAAAAAGGACACCCCACTTTGAAAGTAGATCAATTAACCGAAAAAGAAGCTAAGTATATGCATAGCGATGAACATCCCCAGAATAGGCCCATTAGATCCAATAGGGGCATAATTCCTAAAAGATTAGATGATTACGTACTGTCTATCCAAGCTAAACACCTGACTCCTAACACATATGATGACATACTTAAGCTACCCCTAGAAGAAAAAAGTAAGTGGGAGGAAGCAATGAAAAAAGAGATGGACAGTTTGAGAGAACTAAATGTATATACACCAACAGACCTGCCCACTGAGAAATCCCCTATTGGCACTAGGTGGATCTATAAAATCAAGGAGCTAGAGGATGGTAAATTCCTATACAAAGCCAGGTTGGTGGCTCAAGGCTTTGCCCAAAGATTTCCGGATGACTATGAAGACACTTATTCCCAACCGTTAGATCAGAAAGCGTGAAAACAGCACTAGTGTTAGCTTCTATCTTAAATCTGGAAGTATATCAATTTGACGTGCAGACAGCCTATCTGCACGCTGATCTAGATAAAGAAATTTATGTGAAAGCACCCCCAGGAAAGGATACAAAAAAGGGAGAAATTTGGCTATTAAACAAGAGCCTTTATGGACTAAAACAGTCCGGTAAGCGGTGGTATGAGTGCTTATCAAAGATACTTAAAAATATGGGTTTTGTAGCTACTTCATCTGATTTTTGTTTTTTCACAAAAAAAAATAATGATTCTATTGAATATGTTTTGATTTATGTTGATGATATATTGTATTTTGGACACGACAAAATTAAATGTGATAATTTCGCTGAACAACTAGGCAAAAATTTCAACTTAAAAATATTAGGAAAGGTAAATAAGTATCTAGGAGTCCAAATTGACAAAACAGATAAGGGGTTCAAATTATCTCAGAAAGACAAGATTATGGAACTCATACAAAAATGTAATTTAATTAATTCAAAAATTTGTGATACTCCTATGTCAACTGATTTTTATAGGAATGTGTATAATGAGTACGAACCATTCAAGGATAACACGTTATATCGATCAATTATTGGGTCCTTATTATACATATCTAATTGGACCGGACGGCCTGATATCACCCTTGCTGTAAATTTGTTGTCAAGACATGTAAGCAATCCTAACTCATACCACTGGGAAGGAATTAAGAGGATTCTAAAATATCTAAAGTCTAGCATTGATATGTGCTTATTCTTAGAACCATTCATTTCTGAAAAACCAACTTTGACCTGCTACGCTGATGCTGATTGGGCTACTGATTCAAAAACCAGAAAAAGTACTTCTGGATATGTTTTTCTTATAAATGGCTGTGCGGTGCACTGGTACACAGGCAAACAGAATTTAATTGCCACTTCCACAGCGGAAGCCGAATATGTTTGTTTATCCAAAGCGGTCAACAATCTAACTTGGTTCGATGACTTGTTAACCAATGTGTGGATGAACCTGTTTATCCAATTATTATCAATGAGGACAATAAGGCAGCAATTGATATATCAGCTTCCGAAGCAATAGGTCAACGATCTCGACATATCGATATAAAATATAAACATGTAAGACAACTGTCAAGTATAGGATTTATTAAAGCTATCCATTGCAATACTAGTGAACAAATTGCTGATATCCTCACTAAGCCATTGCCAACCAAACAACATATGTATTTGACTTCCAAACTTGATGTGCATATATAATCTTAATAACCCACCATTAGTTAGGTATTTTAGAGGGGATTTGTTACAGATGAAAATACCTAACCTGATATCTGTAAATATGTGTGCTTGTTTATATGTCATTGTGTGATGTCATTGTGTCACTTACCATTGGTTAGTACTTACCATTAGCCCCGCCTTCTCTGTATATAAGTTCTTGCTCCTCCCAGATTAGTTCCTGTCTAATTGTGTTCCTGAGGAAGAAAAGAAATAAATATTACTATTACAAGAAAGCCTACAGTCTCTTATATATGGGCCTAACCAGATAACCAAACTAGCAATGGTCTTCTAGGGATATTTTTATATTTATTTATATATTTATCCCATATGTATGATCATGGATCAGTTTCAATCATGCATAATATGGAAAATGCAAAAAATATACACTTGCTGGGATTTGGTTCCTCTCCCTTCAGGTTCCCACAGTCTTTCCCTTCAAACATCTTTCACCCACTAGAATATGTGCCCTATTGGCTATATATGGGAGGTTTATTCTTTGGCTTCTCCAGGCCAATCTGGGGAAAATTTCTATCTGAATCCTGGGCATCTGCTGCTGTTTTCAAACAGGGCACCCTATACTGAACTCAATGGAACAATGGTATAAAAGCAGATTGCTCTATTTTTATGTTATGAATCAGAAATATTTCCTATTTGGCACCATGCTGCCAAACGAAAGCAAATTGTTATGATGTACAGTATAAATCTATGCACCATAA